GAGTGGGTGCACCTGCAGCCAAGGCTCAAAGAGCTTTGTAACACTTGCCGGAGCAGGGCAGAGGCCAGGCCAGAGGCTGAGGGCCACGAGAGGCGTGCCTGTGGGCGTGGCCGAGGGGAGGCTGTCCTGATGAAGAATGGTATCCTGAGAGACTCCTGAACCTGAATTGTGACCTGTTACTTCCCTAATAAACCCTGTAATTGTATTATATGTGGGTGTTGAGGGGGAAGATCATTAAAAAGACAGGAAAGGAAGAAAAGACAAAATGGATGTCTGAATCGTGCCCTTGAACAGAGAGTAGCTAAAGCGAATGGAAGAAATGACAAGATAAAAGAGCTGGACAGAAGATTTCAAAGGGCAGCTGGAGGAGACAAAAGTGAAATACTATCATGAAATGTGCAAAGACCTTGAGTTGGAAAATCAAAGAAGAACACACAGCATTTCCCAAGCTGAAAGAACTGAAGAAAAATTCAAGCCTCAAGTTGTGACATTGGGTAAAATATTGAACAATGCAGGAAGCATCAGAAGATGGAAGGAATACAGAGGCGTCGTACAAACATTCAACAGTTTCTGAAGGCAGCATGTGATCAAAAACTGATGGTACTGAAGGAAGAAATCCAAGCTTGCAAAAAACAAGGCTCCAAGAATTGATGGAATACCCACTGAGATGTTTCCACAAAAAGATGCAGTGCTGGAGGCACTCACTCATTTATGCCAAGAAATTTGGAAGACAGCTACCTGGCCAACCGACTGGAAGAGGTTCATATTTGTGCCCATTCCAAAGAAAGGTGATCCCACAGAATGTGGAAATTATCGAGCAATATCATTAATATCAGATGTAAGTAACATTTTGCTGAAGATAATTCAAAAACAGTTGCAGCAGTTCATTGACAGGGAACTTCCAGAAATTTGAGCAGGATGTGGAACAAGGGATATCACTGCTGATGTCAGATGGATCTTGGCTCAAAGCAAAGAATACCAGAAAGATGTTTAATTGGTTTTATTGACTATGCAAAGGCATTCGACTGTGTGGATCATACAAAATTATGGATAACGTTGAGAAGAATGGGAATTCCAGAACACTTCATTATCTTCATGAGGAACCTGTACATAGATAAGGAGACTGTCGTTCAAACAGAACAAGAGGACACTGCATGGTTTAAAATCAGGAAGTCTGTGTGTCAGGGTTGTGTCCTTTCACCATACTTATTCAATCTGTATGCTGAACAAATAATCCAAGAGGGTGGATATGAAGAAGAACACGGCATCAGGATTGGAGGAAAAATCATTAGCAATCTGTGATCTGCAAATGACACAACCTTTTTTGCTAAATGTGAGGATGACTTGAAGCACTTACTAATGAAGATCAAAGACTACAGTGTGCAGTATGAATTACATCTCAACATAAAACAAAAATTCTCACAACTGGACCAATAAACAACATTGTGACAAATGCGGAGAAGATTGAAGGTGTCAAAGATTTCATTTTACTTGGATCCATAATCAACACCCATGGAAGCAGCAGTCAGAAATCAGACATTGTATTGCACTGGGCAGATCTGAAAAAAAAAAAAAAAAAATCACTGCCATTGAGTCGACTGTGACTCATTGAGACCCCTTCTTGGGTTTCTGAAGCGGTATCTCTACAGAAGTAGATTTCCCAGTCTTCCTTCTGAGGAGTGGCTGGTGGATTTGAACTGCCAGCCTTTTGGTTAGCAGTCAGATGCCTTAGGCACTATGCCACCGGACCTCCGTCTTTAAAGTGTTTAAGAGCAAAGATGTCACTTTGAAGACTAAGGTGTACCTGACCCAAGTCAAGGTATTTTCCATCGTCTCATATGCATGTGAAAACTGGACAATGAATAAGAAAGACCAAAGAGGAGTTGATGCTTTTGAATTGTGGTGTTGGCAGAATGCTGAAAGTCCCACGGACTGCCAGAAGAACTAACAAATCTGTCCTGGAGGAAGTGCAGCTGGAATGCTCCTTAAAAGTGAGATTAGCCAGACTTTGTCTGTCATACTTTGGTCATATTGTCAGAAGGGACCAGCCTGTGGAGAAGGATAGCATGTGTGGTGAATGGAGGGTCCGTGAGAAAGGGGAAGCCCCTCAATGAGATGGACCGACACAGTGGCTGCAGCGATGGGTTCAAGCACAGCAAGGGTTGCGAGGATGGCGCAGCACCGGGCAGGGTTTCGTTCTGTGGTACAGTAGTTGCTATGTTGACTCATGGCACTTAACAATAATAACACCAGTCCAATTAACCACGCTGTCCCATGAGACCAGGACTGGAAACCTCCAAAGCAGGGAACCAAATCCCATGAGGTGTTTGGTTGTCCATGAGCAGCTTCGGCAGCTACTTCTTATAAACAGAGCTATCGCACTACTTTCCCCAATCAGTAAATCTGAGTCTTTCTTCCCAGCCTCCTGTGGGAGACAGACCCATAGTTTTGTGTGAGCAAACAATTTAAAGGAGGGGCCGCGTTGAATTACACATGGAGTGTGATTAAAAGAAGACACTGGTTTTTTGAAACGTGGTGGAAACCTATCTGAAAAGAAACAAAGGAAAAAAGAAGGTGCTCGCTGCGAGGCTCTCACCAGGGCCCAGTTGGAGGACTTCACGCCCAGATGCCTCACTGCGCATGCTCGGGGCGCGTGTTTGGCTTGGCACGGGCGGTTCTGCCCCCTGGGAACAGGTTTGCTCTCAGTGCCAGCTCAGACGCCTGGCTGGTTCTTTGCACTAATTCTGAGAGAACTGTCTCGGAACCATGCACCGCTAAGCAGACAGGAGCGAAGCAGCCCGCTGTGCTCCGAGGTTCCCAGGGGCGTCGCGTGCTGCTGAGGTCACAAGAAATGGTCGAGGGCAGGACTGCTGTTCTGTGTCTGCAGGTCGCTGTCCTGGGAACGCCTTTTCCTGCGGGAACAGCCAGTGCGTGAGCAAGGTGAACCCCGAGTGTGACGACAGAGTGGACTGTGCCGACGGCTCCGATGAGGCCCACTGCGGTCAGTCTGGCCTGGATCCCAGGCCACGCCCCCTTCCCAGGGTCAGCTGACCCCACATGGCCCGAGGCCCCACCATGACTGCAGTTGTTGCACAGACCACCTGAGGTGGCCCTGGGACCCCACCACGGATCCCGTGGTTGGCATAGACCATCCAGTGGCCGAGGCCTGCAGAATAAATGCCACAGACCATCTGCCCCCCCCACCCTAAATCTGCCCACGGGGAGTGGGGGGAGGGGTTCGCACTGGTTACTGGGGGACATCAAGCGCAGTGATGCGGCTGCGCTGACACGTGTGCCCGGCGGGCTCTGGGTGCTGGGGCGTGATCTCCTCTCTCGCAGACTGCGGTTTGCAGCCCGCCTGGAGGACCGCTGGCAGGATCGTGGGCGGCGCCAAGGCGGCCCCGGGGGAGTTCCCGTGGCAGGTCAGCCTCCGCGAGAACACCGAGCACTTCTGCGGAGCCACCGTCGTGAGCGCCAGCTGGCTGGTGTCCGCCGCCCACTGCTTCAACGAGTAAGGCCTGCCTCGGACGCCCTCCGCTCGCACCTCCACCGGGCGGCGTTGAGCACCGCTCCTCTGCACGTTTATCTGCCAGTCAGTGCAGGCAGTCCCTCATCCTGATAGTTGTTGAGCTTCCGAAGAGCGTGTGTAGGGTTGGGGGGCCGTAGAGGCTCAGTGGTAGAATTCTCGACTTCCATGCGGGAGACCCGGGTTCGAGTCCCGACCATGCACCTCATGCTTGGCGTCCTCCAATCTGTCCACGGAGGCTTGCTGTCCAGGCTTCAGCGGAGCTTCCAAACTCAGACACACTAGGAAGAAAGGCCTGGCAGTCCTATTCTGACGCCTCATTGCCCCACCTAAACCCGGCCTTGGCAGGTTCTGTCTTTCTTTTAAATGTGGATAATTTGTTCACGGTGGATGCTCATGTTGACTTTTTTTACCATATGACATCACAGTAGGATGTGTCCTGTTGACTGCGTTTTTTTGGCACCCTCGTACAGCACATCACTCTCCTCACCCCAATCCCAGCCCAGTGGGATATGATTTTTATTTTAAATTTTAATATTTTGTTCATCATGGATATTTTTGCATTCATGATTTTTTTTTTCAGCCTTACAATATTATCTGTGTCAGTGATGGGATTTAACATTCGTAGTGGTTTGAACCCACCAGCTGCTCCATGGGAGTCACCCTCTTTCTGTTAAGAGGTGTTGTTGTTGTTGTTGTTGTTGTTGTTGTTATGTGCTGTCGAGTCGGACCTGACTCATAGCGACCCCTCCTTGGGTTTCCGAGGCAGTATCACTACAGACGTAGATTGCCCAGCCTTCCTTCCGAGGAGTGGCTGGTGTGTTTGAACTACCAGCCTTCTGGTTAGCAGTTAAGTGCCTTAGGCACTACACCACCAGAGCTCCCAGAATCGACAGTAATGGGTTGTTAACATTGGTGCCTGTTGTGGTTACCTAGTGCCACTCTGACAAGAAATATACCACAAATAGGATGGCCTTAACAAACAGGAGTTTATTCTTACAATTTGGAGGCTTTAAGTACAGGTTCAAAGTGCCAGGCCCTAGGGGCTGGGTGAAAGCCCCTCAACCTTGGGGTCCAGCTCTGCCTCCTGCTCCCGGCCCACTGGAGCTAGAGGCATTTCTTCACTCAGACAGCTGCTGGCTGCTGAGGCTGACAAGCCCAAGGTTGACAAGTAAAAAGGCACAGTCCTGATGATACCAAACCACACAGCAAGCCATTAACTTAAGTCCACTGAAAGTCGCAAGGTTGGCAGAGCATGGCAAGCTGCTGAATAACGACACAGCTACATGCAGAGTCGAAGCATGCCAAAGGCTAGAGACCATTCCCAAGACTTTTCCTTAAATACAGGAAGCAGCCCACATCCCAGAGGCAGCTACCCAGCTGCTTGTGGTAGATCCTACCATGGAGTTGATTGCCAGTCTCATCATGGGGAATAACTACCACCAGCTGCCTAGCCACTCAGCCAGGCCCAGCCAAGTTGACACACAAACAACCACCACAGTGCCCACCCCAGTCGCCTTGCCCTCCACACCCCACCTGAGCCTCATCTCCTGGGGCTCTGAGCTGCGGTCTGCCCTGCAGGTTCCAGGACCCATCTGAGTGGGTGGCCTACGCAGGCACCATCCACCTCAGCGGCTGGGAGGCCAGCGCCGTGCGGGCCCGGGTGGTGCGGATCATCAAGCACCCCTCCTACAACGCCGACACGGCCGACTTCGACGTAGCGCTGCTGGAGCTGGCCAGCCCGCTGCCCTTCGGCAAGTACATCCAGCCCGTGTGCCTCCCGGCGGCCGACCACGTCTTCCCCCCCAGGAAGGAGTGCCTCATCTCAGGCTGGGGCTACCTCAAGGAGGACTTCCGTAAGCACCTCTTGTTAACCTTTGATGCCTGTGTGGCTTCAGAGTGTTGCCCGGGGTGGATAATCAACCAGAGACAAAGGCACAGGACTAGGTGGTGATGGCCACCACTGCCACCCATCCCAGTGAGGGCCACCATACACGAACCCTGAGAGAATGGGAAAGAATGAAACAGAACCCCAAATTCCTAAAACAAAACAGATCTGCTACACTAGCTGAGCCTGGAGGGCTCCCCAGGACCCCCGCCCTGACATGATCTTCAGACCTTGAATGGAAGCTAACCCCTGAGGTGGTGACCTTGCAGCTAAATAACAGACTGGCTCACAGAGTAATGCATGTCACCCATAAGTACTGTGCTGCTTTAAGAAGTCACTTCCAGGAGACCAAACATCAATAATTACAGTGAAACAAGAATGTGTAAGGGGCAGGGAAGCTAGATTAAGGGAAATGGGACCACCAGTAAGTAAGTAACCCCATGCTTCCCCTGCTCACTGGGTCCTCCATCCCTGCAAGGGATCTTCCATTTGAAGACAGGCTTGGGTTCTGTAGGAAGGTGCTGTGGGGTGGGGAGAAAGACAGATGCCAGCCCCAGCTTGAAGCAGAATCGTTGATGGGGGAAAATGTGGAATTGGTCACTACGGACGAGCAAGGATGAGAAAGACCTTGCTTCCTGGGTGATCCAACACTGGACAGCAGAAGCAGGGAGACCAGCTGGGCGACCTGGGCAAGGAACACTGGTTGCCCGGCTCTGAGGCGAGGCGTGGGCAGATTGTGGGTCTCCTTGGGGGTCGAGTCGATGGGCTTCAGGAGAGGGTGGGCTTGAGCCTTAGACCTGGAGCGCCTGCGAGGGTGGAGCTGGCGTCCCCTGGACCAGGGAGGCCGAGAGGGAGCAGGGTGGCAGGGGAGCTAGGGGCTCAGGGTTGGTGCGCTAAGTTGGACACCTCTTAGCTGTCTGGGTGAAGAGTGTTGGCAGTGGGCATTTCAGGAGTCTCCAGGGTGTGCAAACAGTGAATGAAGACTGCTTACCCAAAGGCTGGCAGTTCAAGTCCACGGCAGTCTGCTTCTGAAACTCCAGCCCCTGAAAACCCTATAGAGCCCAGTTCTCCTCTGATACCCACAGGGTCGCTGCGAGTCAGAGTCGATTCAACCCACTGGTCTACTTGTTTGTTTTCTGTTTGCTGGCCTCTCAGCTGGGTCTGCTAGCAGCCCTGTTTGTAGCTGGGGAGACAGGCTCGGGGTGACATCTCTCAGGCCCCAGAGCCTCACGGCCTGGCTCTCCCTGTCCTGGCAGTAGTCAAGCCGGAAGTGCTGCAGAAAGCCACCGTGGAGCTTCTGGACCAAGCCCTGTGCAACAGTCTTTATGGCCACTCACTCACCGACAGGATGGTGTGTGCCGGCTACCTGGACGGCAAAGTGGACTCCTGCCAGGTGAGCCCTGGTGCCCGGAGGCTCTGGGCACCGCTCAACAAGCCTGCAGCTAGTGGCTACCACATAGCTTTAGAATGTTCAAAAACATTTGGGGGGGAAAAAAAAGGGCCTAGAATGTTGTAGGGAAGATGGGAGTGTTCTAGAACAGAAGCATGCGTTCTAGAATGTTCTAGATCAGCAAGGGGGCCAGTGACAGCTCCCTAGGTTCTGCTTCTGCTCCTCCTCAAAGGAGGTTGAGTCCCCACCCCACCCTCCAGAAAAATGCACCGACAGGCTCACGGACACCTATTCCTGAGGACTCCTGAGGGGACTGGGGCAATGGGGTACCAAGATGGTGTTGGGGTCAGCCGTGCTTTGTTCTTCCTATAGCTTCACCTAAGCGACCACAGTCGGGCACGCTGACAGACGGGTGTGGGTGAGGATTCCAAAGAAGCTCAACTCCAGTTGGGCCCCAGTGGCCTCAACAGGGTCCCTGTGCCTGTCAATAGCTCTCATGTCCAGGGTGGGGGCCTGGAGACCCCACACACAGAGGAAGCTTAGCTTTGCATCCAGGGCCTGACCTGGATTTTTTTTTTTTCACTTGATTTTTTTTTAATGTAGCATTACAGTCGTATTTATCTTGGTGACTGGGATTTGAGGCACCCACCGTAGTGTATGTAAATCCACCTGCCTACCCCCACCCCTCTTATGAGGGCAAGGGAGCCCCTGGGGGTGCAAGTACTAACTGAATGGTTGGCAGCTTAAACTCACCCAGACGCCCCACCAAGAAGGGCCTGGCAATCTGCTTTTGAAAGGTCACAGCCTAGAACCCCCATGGAGAGTTCTGCTCTGCACGTGTGTGAGGCCCAGGAGTCAGAGTCGACTCCACAGCAGCTAATAACAACATGAGTAGGGGCTGTTCCCCGACCTGGTCAGCCTTTGGTGCTGAAGACACCTTTAAGATCCCATGTCCCAACTGTCACGTTTATTTTATTATTTTTGTAATTAATATTACTGCAAAGCCCGCTCCCAGTACTCAGAAAAGCCTGCTCTGGTCCACATGCTCTACACGCAGCAAAGCCCTCTCCAGTCCACATTACTGTATACACAACAAAGCCCGCTCCGGTCCACATTACTGTATACACAGCAAAGCCCTCCCAGTCTATCTTGCTATGTACATAGCAAAGCCCGCTCCTGGTCCACGTGACTGTATATACAGCAAAGCGTGCTCCAATCCACGTTACTGTACACGCAGCAAAGCCCGCTCCGGTCCACGTTACTGTACACGCAGCAAAGCCCGCTCCGGTCCA